TGGATAGCGGGGCTGAGAAGAAGCCTTTCCCGTTTCTATAGGGCTTTTCTGGCGTCTCGGGGTCTGTGCGATGGGGCGAGGGGTGTTCGCGGTCGCGCCTCGGAGGATGAAGTTGTTTCTTCTCTTCTTTCATCCCTTTAGGTTCCGGCCCTTTGTGCCGCACATCCCCTTTGATTTCTATGTCGTGAGTAACCCGTTTGCAGGCACCAGCGGGGGGAGTTGTCCTTGTGTAAAGCTGTATCTTCGACCCCTCGTGTGCTGCCTCTGGTTTAGTGTAGCTGGAGTCGAGGAATGCCCTGAAGGTGCTGTTGGTTCAGTAACTACCCCAAATAGACCTCACTGTCTATGGGAGTTCTTGTGTTACACGGGATGCAGTTGAGTACGAGTCCCAACCAGTAACTGCCTCCACTGAGGGGTTTCTGCCCCCCCAGACCCTCAGTTCTGCTCCGTCTTTGTCACACAAACTGGGGAGTTGCTCCAGTAGCTGCCACTCACCCATCAGATGTTCCCACGGCAGTCACGGAATCCCAGTCTGGTTTGGGTTGGAAAGGACCTTAAAGCTCCTCCAGCTCCAGCCCCTGCCACGGGCAGGGACACCTCCCACTAGAGCAGGTTGCTCCAAGCCATGTCCAACACTGCAGGGATGGGGCAGCCACAAGGAAGAGGAAACAATTCCCTCCTCCTGCCCTTTAGAGATGCATGACTTCCAGAGCAAACAAGTTCACTTACTCATCCCTTGCAGTGAGTAAAGCCCCCTCACTAGACCCGTTCTTCATTAGATCTTGCTGGTGCCTCCTTATCATTCCTGAAGACATGGTGATCCCATTGGAGCAGGGTGGGACCTGCCGTCTTCCCTCAGGGTAACGTGAGAGGGAAGTGGCAGAGGAACCAAGCACTGGAGGATGGTTCAGGTGGTGGGTGGAGGTGCTCTCCTGGCGTGTTGTGTCTCATCTCGGATCCCTTTCCAGTGCGAGATGGCTTTTCCCCGCGTGAAACCGGCTGCCGATGAGACTGCTTTCAGTGAGGCCCTGCTCAAGAGGAACCAGGACCTCGCCCCCACTGCTGCTGAACAGGTTCTGTGCCAGAAACCACCCAAAAGCCTTTGCCTGGGTGATGCTGCTGGGTTGGAGACCACAGAGGGTGGGCTACAAAGTGCTTCCTTCTCTCTGGAATAAGCCCCGCGGGAGACACCCAAGTGGAGTTTCTTGGGTGGTGGTTTTTAAGTGTGTTTCGTGGTTACGGATCAGGGCTGTCTGCAGCCCGCTGGGTGCTGGTTCACCTTGGGGGGGGCACAACTGACCCCCTCCCATGCTTCCTTTCCAGGCGTCCATCCTTTCGCTGGTGACCAAAATAAACAATGTGATCGACAACTTGATTGTGGCACCAGGCACCTTTGAAGTGGTGAGTCCAAAAGTGGGTGGGAGACGGGTTGCCCTGGGGGGTGTCTGTGTTCCTGCTCCCAAACCCGGCTCCCAGAGGCAGGAAGCTTGGTAGCATGTTTCCTCGTTGCTTGGCTCTTCCCACCAGCAAATCGAGGAGGTTCGTCAGGTGGGGTCCTACAAGAAGGGGACCATGACGACGGGGCACAACGTGGCTGATCTGGTGGTGATCCTCAAGATCTTACCCACCCGTGAGTACCAGCCACGTCTCCTCCTGATGGCCCCGTGCTCAGCCCTGCTCTGAGCGCTGCTGCTTCTCCTTCTCCCCAGTGGAAGCTGTGGCAGCCTTGGGAAACAAAGTTGTGGAAAGTCTGCGAGCTCAGGACCCTGGTGAAGGTGGGACCAGCACCTCCATCCTGTGGGGCTGAGGGGGGACATGGGTTGAGCGTTGCCACCGAAGCTCAAACCCCTTGAGCTCTGGTGCCCAGCCGGGATCCGCGCTCCCTGTGATGTTCCCTTCAAGGCTTCCCAGCCCCTCCATGAGGAATTCTCCCTCTTTGTCCCCAGTTCTGACCATGCTGACCAACGAGACAGGCTTTGAGATCAGCTCGGCCGACGCCACGGTGAAGATCCTCATCACCACGGTGCCACCCAACCTGCGCAAGCTGGACCCTGAGCTGCACCGTGAGAGCTCCGTGCTGCACGTGGACCCTCCCCAGGTCCTCCCCTCTCCTCCTTCCCCTTAAAACCAGGCCTTTCTGCTGCTTCTTCCAGTGGACATCAAGGTGCTGCAGAGCGCCCTGGCTGCCATCAGGCACGCGCGCTGGTTCGAGGAGAACGCTTCGCAGTCCACGTGAGTTTGGCCTCGAGGGGGAATCCCAAGTTGGAATAATCCTTCGCTGAGCACAAGGAGAAGGGAGCTCTTCCTGCAGCAGGGTGGTGCCTCATGAGCCTTCTTCCCATTGTCTTCTCCAGGGTGAAGGTCTTAATCCGGCTGCTCAAAGACCTGAGGATCCGATTCCCCGGCTTCGAGCCCCTCACGCCCTGGATCCTGGACCTGCTGGTGAGCACACCCAGGGAATGCTGGCAGGAGCTTCCCTCGCTCTCATCCCAACTCCCTCTCTGTGTGTTCACCTCCTCAGGGCCACTACGCCGTGATGAACAACCCCACCAGGCAGCCCCTGGCTCTCAACATCGCCTACAGGTCTGGTGCTGCTTCCTTCATTCCTTACGCATCCCTGTTCCCAGCTGGGTTTTGAACACGTCCAATCAAAGCAGGAGCATCTCCGGGCTTCAAGGGACCTTTCCATGCTGGAACGGCCTCATTCCTAACCCAGACCACCTCATCCCATAGGCGCTGCCTCCAGATCCTGGCCGCGGGGCTCTTCCGCCCCGGATCCGTTGGCATCACGGATCCCTGTGAGAGCGGGAATTTCAGAGTCCACACGGTCATGACGCTGGAGCAGCAGGTGAGCTCCTGCCCTGCTGGGGAAGGGGCCAGGACCCAGCCCAGGCCCTGACTGCGCCCTGTCCCCGCGCAGGACATGGTGTGTTACACTGCACAGACCCTTGTCCGCATCCTCTCCCATGGAGGCTACAGGAAAATCCTTGGCCAAGAGGGGGATGCCAGTTGTAAGTGGGGCTGGGGCGATGCGTGGCTCCCTGCAGGCTCTCAGCGAGCTTCTCGGTGCTGCTGGATGGAGTTGAGGGCTCGGAGGAACCCCTGGAAGCCTGGAGCAGTGGGGAGGCTTCCCTGGGGCTTGTCCACGCTGCTCAAACAACCCCCTGTGGTTTCGCAGACCTGGCTTCGGAGATGTCCACGTGGGACGGAGTGATAGTGACGCCTTCCGAGAAGGCTTATGAGAAGCCTCCAGAGAAGAAAGAAGGAGAAGAAGAGGAAGAGACTCAGGAGGC